TTCCCATTCCCACTCCATGAACACAAGAATATGCCTGCTTGGTATTAGCTAAAGGCATGGTTCTCATTCATGATTTTTTCCTTAATATAAATGAATCACTGAGCAAAAATACACTCAGCTCTGCATCTCTCATACCTGAAATTTCAGCTGGGAAAGTTGAGAGAGGGGAAAGCCTTCAGGTGGGCAGCCAGCATCATGCCCTAAGAGGTAAGGTCATTTCTTCTCTGAGGTCCATCTCACACACTGCCCTGACCCACTGTTTTCTGTATTCCAGACCGCAAATTCTTCCTATAGAAGGGAAAAGGAGGAGATGTATCAAACTCATTCTCCTGAACAAGGTGGCTAACTTAGCAATGCAGGTCACTTTTTTTTTTTTTTATGTGAATCATGGCCAGTCCTGTCTTCCCAGCATATGTGGCCAAATCATGCCTCTCCTCTTGAGCGTCTGGGAGGTAATTGATTTTATGGGCCTTGCCTATTCTAGGACTCTGCTCTGCTTGAGGCCTGAGTCATATTTCATGGAATGTTCAAACTCTTTGAACAGTGTTCCTTTTATCTTGTAGTAGTAAAGTTTTCAGCATTGGGAAGTGTCTCTTTCAGCAGGTGACCACCTGTTGGATACAGGTGGTGAGGGATGTCTGAGCCACCCTGTGCTGGGAAGATCGAGTTGGCTCTGGGATTCTTACAGGACTGTGCTAGCCAGCAACAGAAAGAGACCAGAGTTGTCTTGGAGCAGCCATGGTGTTGGTATAGCTGTGGTTCAAGGGAGGGACTGGGCTGCCAACAAGATTGGGGACAAAGGTCCTTGGCTGCAGAAATAGCAGAAAGTTGACCAAAGGGTTCTTCCCACCTTAAGGTAAGGAAGTAGCAAATGAAATAAAAACATGTAGTCCTTGATGAAGTGATGCAGAGTTCCACGAGGTCCTGTCAGACACTCTTCTGGGAAGAATTCAGGAGATCCTGCAGCTTGAGGAGAAAGGTTTTAGAACATTTGGACCTGAAAAGGACTCCGGGGTCTAGGCACAGACTCCCTCCCTCGCCACCATCACGCGGCACAGGCAGGGTTTTTGGTGTCAGTGTTGGGATATTTGCCGCTTCCTCTCCACTCCGTTTTAGATTTTGCTTAAATGTATTGCTCTGGATGTTACAGACCGTATTGAAAGAGAGTTCTCATGGTGTGAGGTCTCCTGGGATAGAAACGCAGCAGGTGTTTTCAGAGGCTCCTGCTAACGAGGTAGATATTTCTTGACTGGTGTCTGCCCGTTAGAGACTCCTTGTTGATACTCACAGCTTCTGTTCTTTGACACTTAGCAAAACAGTGAGTGGGCTTGTTCCTTTCAAGCACAGATTGTATTTTTTGCCCTTAAGAAGTTATTTTGTGAGTAGGTAATTTATGAACATGGTAAGTATTCAGAGTGTGAAAGGGAATAAAGTGAAAAGAAACTCCTACTCCTGGCCCCTAGGCTAGGCCTCTTCCCTGTCCCCTCTTCATATCAGCCGCTATTACCGACAATGGCTTCTTTCAGAGATATTCTGTGCATATACAAGAAGATAGCTACACATATTATCCTCCTTGTCCGTTAGACACATAATTTATTTAAACAGTCTTCTATTGACGGACATGGATTGTTTGCAATCTTTTAGCTACTGTAAACAGAGTTGCCGCAGATATCTGCTGGATGCATTTCTATAATTAGAATTGCTGACCATAGGATAGATTCATTTTAAATCTTGATAGACATTTCGAAAATAGTACATTTTATTTCTGTTGGAATCAGTGTAAAGGAGATTCTGCGCCCAACTCGATAGGGCCAAGTCGATTCTTGAGTCTTGTAAGAACCAGTGCATCTCTTGTGTATCTTCGTAGATAAGTCCTATGTGGTGGATTTAAAAAAAAAAAAAATTTGCCATAGTTATATTTTTCCCTATTTGTAAGATCATTTCATTTAGAGTCTACAAGCATCTCGAAGATCAGGGGTTTGTTATCAAGAGTAGAGGCTTGTGTTATCTAACAGAGCTTTCACTTCTCTCTGGGTGAGACACAGTTCGAAGATCAGGGGCTTGTTATCAAGAGTAGAGGCCTTGTGTTACCTAACAGAGCTTTCACTTCTCTCTGGGTGAGACACAGTCCTTTTCTCGTTCATGATGCTGTCAGTGGTCCCAAAGTACTACAAAAGTCACATAACGTTAGAACGCTTTTTGTTGTTGTTATTGTTGTTATGTGGTTGATTAGAGTGAGGGGTTTTTGTTATTTTGCTATTGGATCTCAAGGTTTTGGTCTAGTAAACTCTTCTTCACGTACTGACTTCCTACAGTGAGGAAATATTTTCCTCTGAACAGTCTTTAGGAAATGTTGCCCTCTGAACCACCAATCCTGCTTCTGGGTCAGAGCCCAGATGTGAGGCCAGGGTTCCTGGCTTACCCGGGAGCCCTTTCAGAGGAAAAGCGGAGGAGCTAAGATTGCAGGAGTGCTGTGGACCTCTTGCTGGGGACCTCACATCTCTGCAAAATGCATATACTTGCCTTGTGAATGGCAGGCCTAAGCCTTTGGGCATAGTTAATGCCTCTCCCAGCAAACAGGAGTCCAACACCTTGGGCCCAGACCAAGGAGCACATATAAAAAGCTGGGCCAGACACAGGGACCGACTTCCATTTCCCTGAGGCTGAAGTTCTCGGAGCCCGGGGATTGGTCGAAGAGACAATATTCTGGAGTAGAATCGTTAAGGGCACCATCTGGGCCAAAGAGTGCATAGTTCCTTCTTCAGGCCCTCAAATTCTTTTGCTGAGGGTGGAGAGAACATGGCTGAAGACTGCTGGGACCAAAATATCCCCAAACAGACAGTTTAGGGCAGCAGGATGTCCAAGGAAGTTGAGCCTCGTGGGAGCCTAGAACGGAACCAGAATCTTGAGAGTGATGAATGGAGTCTGCACTGGAGACAGATCCAAGTGAGGAATCCCCGTGTGTTTGATGTCTGTGGGCAGCTGAACATTTACCATCAGATGGTGGTCTCCGGCATGGCCACTTGGGGGAGGGTGGAGGGGAGTGTTTTCTTGGTCAGGATCTTCATAGAATTTCCTGGTTTTTGATTCAGTTGAACCTCTGTTTAGGGCCCTAATAGGGCCCCAGTGCACCTAAAACTTGAATTTGTAAGCTATCATCTCAGATGAACAAGCATGTGAACACATTATGTTATAGTGTCAACATAACCAGCCTTTGGGGCCGACAAGGACTTATGTTCTGGGAATCAAAGGACAATGATTGCAGTTCCTGACTCAGATGCCAGCTTGCGTATGCCCATGGCCAGCCTCGGACTGCGTGAGTGCTGCCTGGTCTCTGCCGGCGGTCATCATACTCCAGATGTTCACGGGGCTGTCTCTGCTGTGCCCAGTTGCATGGATCCTGGCCCATCTGTGTCTGGTCATACTCTGCATGGCAGACCAGAAAGAGATGACTGTGACCCCAGTGAGGCCTCCCAGCCCTACCATGACCCCAGTTCCTGATGAGTGTTTGCAGGATTGGCGGGTGATGCAGGGATGCCCACTGGCATGGCAGGACGCATTTCAAGCCTGGCACACCTCACTCAAGGAGATCCTTTCTGGTGGTGACTGGATCTGGCTCACCTCCCACCCAGCCGCCCTGCAAGATCCCTTCTGAAACTTGACAGCCAGTCCCATTCCCAGAAAGAGGTGGTGACCTTGTCACCTGCCCATCTGCCCTTTTCCATCCACTCACATTTTTACTACACCCAGAATCTCCTGACTGCTGGGGCCTGCCCTGTACCCTTCATCCTCAGGACCCACCTCACGAGTCAAGGAAAAATTACTCCAGAGGGCTCCACCTCCCCCTGCTTCCTCACCACGGGGCACAGCAGAACTTGGTACCTATGTCCTCTGCTTCAGGTTTCCATTGCAACCAATTTTTGTGTCTGCAGCTTGCACAGTCTTCAGCACAAATAGTGCATGCCCCTTTTCCACTTGCCACAAGGGAACTGGTGAGGATGGGCTGTAGAGGTCTTGTTATGTTGTGCGAGGCCCCATCAGAAGTCCTGATGTGCCTGCCTTCCTCCAGGAACCTCACCTTGGACCATGACCACGGCCACCCTCTCCGTTCAGGTGGAGGAGCAGAGCCTGACTCTGAGCACTGAGCACTGAATTCAGGCCGGTGGCCAGGGTGTGCTGTCCAGACTCTTCTAAGGCGGAAAAATCACTTTGTATAAATGAAGCCAAGATAAACAGGCGACAGAAATGTCAGGAGAAAATGTTAACATAAGCTCCAGTTCAAAAGAAGGCAGGTGTTCCTGGTTTCATCAAGTAAGGGTCCATCATGGATGAACTGCTCCCCAAGAAAAGTGATAGAAACATGCTGGGCTTCCTTAGGATTTGGTTAGCTCCTTGGTATCCAGCCTAATTTAGGAGTAAAGTCTTGCTGACCTTTAAACCAACCAACTCGAACCACACAGTTGATATTTTCTTTATTTTATTGTTACTGAGTTACTCAGGAAATTATGGGGTTATTTTCCATCTTATGATTATTAGTATTAATGATCATTATTAGTGTTAATAACCGTTTACATGATGCTTCATTGTTTATGAGGCTCTAACTTGCATGGTCTCATTTACTGGCAGTGAATTCCTTGGAGAAACCCAACACGTATCATCCTCATTTTCTTGGTGAATTCATCCCTTTTGGTAACGTATTGACAACTTGTCCAGTAACCTACCAGAAAATTCCCAGGAAGAAACGGTTGAATTCTCCAGAATTTGGAGTTGGAGAACAGCTCGATTGTTTTTTGTTTTTGTTGTTTATTTCATTCCTCTTGATACGCACTGAGAAGAATGTTTTGTTCTAAAAATATGGAAAATTGTGTGTTATAAAGACACTAGCGAAGACGAGCTCCATCCAGGGAGGGAGTCTATGTAGCGTCAAAGGAGAGGATGCAGATTGGGCTTCGGAAGCTGTAACCTTGGGATTGCTTAGAATGCAGATTTTCATTCAGTCGGTCTCAAGTAAGACTTAAGGTTTATGCATTTCTGACAAGCTGCAGATGAAGACCTGGAAATCTGGTTGGTGGATGGAAGTTGTTGAAGCGAGATGCCTCTTTCCAGCTATCTGCACTTTGAGTCAGGCGGCTGTGACCCTGAGGGAGTTCAGAGGCCTCGCTGCCTGCAGACCACACCTGGAGAAGTCAGCCCAGAGGGAGGTTTCCTGATCCTTAGTCATCAACTAATCAAGGGGACAGGTTAAAAGTGTTGGTTACTAGCAGGGACTGTGTCGGAATGTCGGTCACAGAGAGGCTTTTCCAACCCTGACTACACCTCTGCATTTAGCACGGTGGGGAGTGGAGGCTCTCGCACCCATAAATAGACGTTAGGATAAGTAATGTGTGCTTTAATAAGAATTGGAGATTGCACTTTTGAAGTTCTGGCCGGAGAATAAGGTTTGGCACCTGGTGGAGTGACTGCTAAGTTGTATTGTTACTGTCTTAAAAACAGTGATATTTTGTGTGTGTGTGCATGTGCACGTGTGTGTGTATTTTCACCACCAGATTGTCAGAATGCCCCTGTTTTTAAGAAAATAATCTGTCCATCCAGTTCTTCCTCATTCTGGTCTGAGGTGAGCCCAGCATGTGCCTCTGAGGGAACCAGGGGGAGAACCTGTGTTGTGGTGGGCAGGTGAGTCTGCTGAGTACCTGAGGCAGGGAGGGCTGAGCAGGAGGCAGGGTGTGTGCTTTGGAGCAGGTGTGGCCTGAGCAGTTGCGAGCCTGTAGCCAAAGCAAAGTGCCTGGTGAGCAGAGCAGGGGGCACCAAAGGAAGGCCCGGATGGTGGCCCAGAGGGGCCCGAGGCCTTGTCTTAGCAGTCCAGGGCTTCATCTGCAAGGATGTAGGCCAGCAGAGTTTCTGGGAAAGGGCAGATCGCCCATGTTTTCAGCTTTGCAGGCCATGCAGTCTCTATCGCAAGTACTCAACTGCAAAGAAGCAGCCGCATGTAGATGGTGTGGCTGTGTGCCAGTACAACGATTTACGAACACGGAAGTTCATATAAATTTTTATGTGTCCCAAAATATTATGCTTTTGATTCTTTTTCAACCACTTAAAAATGTGAAAGCTCTCCTTAGCTTGCAGGCTGCACAAAGACAGATGGCAGGCTGGATTTGACTCAAGGCCCAGGTTGACCCACCTGTGGCATACAGGCTGTGTTGGTCTAATAGGGTCTCAGTGTACAGAATCTTTCGTGGTCGAATTTTAGAAATGGTAATAAGATGGCTTGGCACAAAGTCTAGCACATAAACTATATACCACAATGGGAAGAATGGAGAAGTTGAGATTATTCCACATTAGGGACATAAAACCCACTTGTGGCTATTCTCTCTAAAGTTTTCTCTTTGGAGAAAAATGTGTGGTGAATAGGTTCCCATAGCTCTCTAATATGCAAACATAAGCTACAATAATTGATTTCAGATAGAGATAAGACTCTTCGACTCACAGCAGAGAGTGTTGCATTTCTCCGGGACCCTCGCAGCAGCCCTTCTGAGCAGCTGGGACAGGCATTAGCCTGTTTTACAGAGGAAGAAGCTCCTGCCCACAGAACTGGTGTCACTAGCCCAAGGGAACAGTTCTACCAAGCTGGGGGCCAGGATTCACATCGGATCTTCCTATTCCGGCTGCTGTTTTTGTCTTCACTCTCTCATGCAGCCCTTTGGAAGAGCTGTGTCCTAAAATGTCATTTGCAAGCCATTTACTAGAACATGGAAGTTTTCTCTTCAGAGAAAGAAGAATGTGGTGAACAGATTCCTAAGTTGCCTGGGATGAAATGACCCTTTCATCTGTAGCAGCAGAACTATAGTCCTGGAGCTTTGATGTGAGTTCTAAGGCCTGGGGGCTGTGAGAAGTAGGAAGGAGTAGGTAAAAAAGCACATTTCTTTGCCTGAGAGTGGCCCCAGACAAAATTCCCAAGAGGCTGGCGATGTCCGAGCTATCTTCTGTCCTGTGGGCCCCCTGCCCCCTCCCCGTCTCTGGCCATCTGGGCCCTCTCGCTTGCCCCATCCCTCTGTGACATGCAGCTAAGGGGGCATCTTGGGCAGTGGGCCCGGCTGGCCACCGCCTGCTAGTGTCAGGGCAGGAGCCAGCCCCGATGAGGACAAAGGCACAGCCAACACTGGCTCCTGCCCCAGACTCAGCCATGCTCTTGTTTCATGCCTCCACCTTTCATGAACTTCCTGACCTGAAATGTGGGTCTCCCCAGCTTCTCTCACGGCTTTCGGGAGACGGGGTGGGAAGGAGACCCGCCCAGCAGCGCCGAGTCACTGGGACCCACCTGAGGGGCTCCCTGGGGCCGACCCCAAGAGATGGCAAGGGAGCTTTCTCAGGGCCTGAAGCCTTCGAAGCTTCCCGTGGGGGACTCTGCTCTGGCTGGGCCGTCTCGTGGCGGGCGCGGGGTCTTCAGAAAATAATGAAGACCTGGAATCGGTGGATGGAAGGACGCCGCTAACGCAGACCCTCTTTCCAGGCCTCTGCTCCTCGAGTCGGGCGGCTGCGACCGTGCGGGGCTCGGAGGTGCCGTGAGGCTGCTGCTGCCTTCGCGTTCAGCCGCGTGGCCACGGAGCTGGCCCTGGTGCAGCCGCGCAGCCCGGCCCCGGCCTCTCTCCCGCTGGCCCGCGAGCCCTCCTGCCGAGGGCTGTTCGTCTTGCTCCCGGCTGCAGCCTCGGCTTGCCCTTCCCCTGCCGCGGTGCCCGGTGCTGGAGGAAGGCCCCTCCCAAGGTTCGGCCGAGGGGAGCGGGAGCTTTTCCAGCCACCTGGACGCCGCCCTCTTCAGACAGAAATGCGAGCACCTGTGACGGGCGGGGAAGTGTCTCTGCCCTGCGGCCTCCGGGCCCCAGATGCCTTTGTCTTTCCAGGGTGGACTGGAGCGCCCTGGTCCCTCTGTGGCTCCGCCATCGGCAGCTGGGGCTGCAGGCCAAGGGCTGGAACTTCATGCTGGAAGATTCCACCTTCTGGATCTTCGGGGGCTCCATCCACTATTTCCGCGTGCCCAGGGAGTACTGGAGGGACCGCCTGCTGAAGATGAAGGCCTGTGGCTTGAACACGCTCACCACGTAGGTACCACCCCCGCCCCCCATGGAGCCTGAGTAGGGCGCCTGGTGTCTGCGTGCGAAAAATATAAGAGGAAGCAGCCCCGGTCCTCTGCCCAGGGCGAGAGAGCCAGGGTCTCCCTCCTCCTCCCCACCTCAGAGCTCCTGACTCATGGGCGTGAGGGACAGGAAATGGAGGTAAGGTCTAGAGGAACCGAAGTAGCGATGCCGCACAAAAGAGTATAGTGAAGGAGGTGAGTGCAGGTTGAGGAGGTGATTCACTGCCAGGGAATCATTTTCTTTAACAAGCAGGCTTCCCACTTCCAGTTCATACAGCCAGGGAGCGGAGTCTTGTTCCGAAGACCTGCCCGAGAGGCTCTCTGGCCCCGGTTTTCAGCACTCCTCTTGGGCAGTGGTCTTAGGATGCTGTGGTTGTCATCTCAGCCTCTGTTGTGATGACTGGCACATGGTAGGCACACAATAAAATGTTGAATTTGCAAATCACTTATAAAATGTGCTCAGTTGCGAATAACCTGGATCTTTTCATGGGTTTCCCCCGCAAATTGCCAACAGATACTTGACTCTAAGTCGACGAAATAAAGGGAGTGATCAGGCTGGATTATTCCATGTTTAGGCAAAAATATGTGATTACAAATCAAGGAGATGGCTTTTCATGGGTGGTTGATGAACTGATTTTGAAGACAGTTCCTTAAAGAGTTACAGAAACGCGCTGAGCCTCGACAGCTTCCCAGAAAGGACTCGTGAAGGCTGTAGGAGTGCAGCAGGCTCAGCCCTCGGCCCCACAGAAGCAGCACCGACGACATTTTCTGAAAGGCAGAACTCGTGTGTCTGAGTTGGAAGCCAGGCAGCCTCTCCTCCTTCGCCTGGGAATATTCTTTGTAGTGGGCAGAGGCTCTGCTGAAGCCAGTGATGGGGTGGGGTTGGGAGAAGAGCAGTTGTCATCACTGTGTCATCCACGAGTCGTCCCTTCCGCCTGTCGAGTTGAGCCTGTGCATGAGCCTGCTCTGTCCCTTGTCCTGTCTTCAGAGGTGGAAGCGTCATCGTCATTCTGTTGCATGTTTGGAGTTCTGAGTGCTTCAGTAAATACAGGATGATCACTGAGCTTTCCTCTTACTCCTTGTAGCTGTTTTTCTGATAAAGTTACATTTTCTTCTCCAGTGGGGCGTGGGCATGGTAAGCTGACTGGGGTCGGAGCGCCTGACCTTTTACTTAGCAGGTCTATGCTTCGTCCAGATCTTGCTGATGCAGAGGGAAGAGGGCTTGCCCTCGATTCTGGTCCCTAGATCCGTTCACGTAGTTCTTCGTTCCAGTCCTAAAATCATGAAGAAACATATCTTTAGCCATCATATTGGATTTTTGGGAGATGAAGTGGAATGAGTAACACGCTCTAGCCTATAATTATCATTTCTGTTGCAGCTATGTTCCGTGGAACCTGCATGAGCCGGAAAGAGGCAAATTTGACTTCTCTGGGAACCTGGACCTGGAGTACGTGGTGTTGCTGCTTCTGTGACCTGGCCAGGGGCAGGGGCAGAGAGGTGGCTGGGAGGGACCTGGGTCTGGAGTCCTGTTCTAGGACTGCGAGAGGACCTGCACCCGGGACCTACATACTCCCCAGTCGTGACCTGCTGGGCCTGCAGCCTTTGGGCCTCACTTCTCCACTGCAGCCCAGAGGGGCAGAAGACCCGGGAGCCGCCCGACTCTGCATGGGGTCCGGCTGCCTGGGCTGGGGCAGGGCGAGGGCTCCTCTAGGCTAACAAGGCTGTTGGATCAGGTTCACTGTTAAGACCCCTGTGCCCTGGCTGTCACCCTTCCTCCTCAGGCCCCCAATGGGGCTGTGCAGAGGCTCTGAGGCTGGGAGCAGCTCAGGCCACCACCCTGATGTGGGAGTCCCTGCTCTTCGGGGATGGGGCCGAGCGTCCCTTCGCCCCACCGGGCAGCTCCTCCACCCTGTGACGTGTGTGGCCCCCACCCGGCCTCATCCTGGGCCGTCATGGGAGGGGCTGACGATGTGGACCTCCCTAGGGCCTTCGTCCTGATGGCCGCAGAGATCGGGCTGTGGGTGATTCTGCGTCCAGGCCCCTACATCTGCAGTGAGATGGACCTCGGGGGCTTGCCCAGGTAAGCGGGACTGGGAAGGGTCCTGTGTGCTGTTGCAGAAAGCTCATAGACATAGGTCTAGTTTTGTTTCCGTGTTCCCGTTCCGTACGGAATTTCCGTGTTCCCGTTCCGTACGGAATTTCCGTGTTCCAGTTCCCGTTCCGTACGGAATTTCCTTTTCAGGAAAAGCAGCACCCAGAGGGGATCACATTCAGTGATGCTGCAGTGAGTGCCTTTGCAGAGCCTTGCATGAGCTGCTTGTGTGACAGGCAGCAGCAGGGCTGGCCCTCCTGGCATCTCGTATTTCAGGGCTCTGCTGTGGAGCTGGGAGCCCTAGCACGTCATTCACCTGCTTGTTTACAGTATGGGAAGAATCAGACCTTCCCTGTCTGTTTCTTTGTTTTTTGAGACGGAGTCTTGCTCTGGCACCCAGGCTGGAATGCAGTGGCATGATCTTGGCTTATTGCAAGCTCTGTCTTCTGGGTTCAAGCGATTCTCCTGCCTCAGCTTCCCGAGCAGCTAGGGTTACAGGTGCCCGCCACCACACCCAGCTAATATTTGTATTTTTAGTAGAGACAGGGTTTCACCATGTTGGCCAGACTGGTCTGGAACTCCTGACCTCATGATCTGCCTACCTTGGCCTCCCAAAGTGCTGGGATTACAGGCATGAGCCACCATGCTGGGTCTTCCCTATCTCTTTCTTAGGAATGTTTCCAAGCATATTTTGAAAAGTCCAAGTATTTTGATAAAGTATAAGAGAAACAAATTCTTGTTATGGTTTTGTCTTCATATCTCAGCCCACATGTGTCATCTTCCCAGTGGCAGTCTTGGCTGAGGTTGTTATTCTGTGGTTGGAGTGGAAATCCGGACAGGAATCAGCTGGGACTTCATTCATTCCTCATCCTCAACATTGTGGCCTTTAAGATTTTCTTGTTAACAGGCGTAACCTTTCTCAGCCTCCCAGTGTACCAGGTGGTTAGACGCAGACTGCCTCAGGGAAGAGGCCCATCCTTGTCCCCAGCCCTCTCCCCTTCCCCCGGGGATCCCTGGGCTTGCTTTCCTCCTGGTTTCCAGCACGACCTGCCCTTCCCTCAGAGGCATAGCTTCTGTCTCCACTACCCAGGGTCACTTCTCAGGCACTCATCCATTCAGCCTGGTAGGCTCGCCCTTGACACAAACACAGCCAGGGCGGCCTCTCCAGTCCCTGCGGATTAGAAAGCTGCGTGCCACCGTCAGCGATTTCCTCGGCTTAGCCAGGGCCGGGGACAGGAGGACGAAGGGTTTAACAGTCTTAACTTAGAAGCAGCGGGGAGCTGTGGCACTCAGACTCCCCTCTCCCACCCCGCCCATGTGGCACCTGCCCATGCATGAGAGGGGCATGTGGGCACACCCGCAGAGGGGGAGTCCGGGCAGGAGTGAGAAAGCTAACCTGTCAGGTGGGGTTCGAATGTGGGAGTGTGGGTCTAGAGGAAACTGCTCTCCTCACCCGTTGTTTTACCCACAGAAATGGAATAATTTCCTGACCCTGTTTAGGACTTCCAGACCAGGGCGAGAGGAGCCTCAGAGCCTTTTGTTAGGAAATATAAGTGTCTTCTCAGAAGCTGAAGTGAGAAGGAAGCCCTGACTCCCGCTTTGGAACCAATCCATGCTGCTGTGTTCCCCTGGGGAGTTTGGGATCACAGCAACAGGGTGGAAGGAGAATTCAACTCTTGCTCACCTGCTGCTCTGGGCTGAGCTCTGCACAGCCCACACCACTGATGCCAAGGCGTTAGCCGTGTTGGCAAGGATGGGGGCTGCCTCCTGCTCGGCCCCTCGCAGTCTCTGTCAGGCTTGTTTTTTGGGGTGACGCTAGAGCGTTGTGTCTCCTCCTTCCACAGCCTCGGTGATTCCTAACCCTTTTGGCTTCACTCTTTGTGATGGGATCGTAGAGCAAGTTCTCGGAAACTAGGCCTGGAGTCTGCGAAAAGCTCTTCTCACTGCTGGCAGCCAGGCCCTGTAGCTGTGGGGCTGGAAATGAACTTCCACTAGGCTGTGTCCCGGGGGAGGGAAGCTGCAGGAGTGCGGGTGGGTGCGCGCCCCAGAATCAGTTTGCATCGGCTCCCCACTTCTGGGCTGAGTGGGGTGGAGGAGGTCACAGGTCATTCCGGAGCACTGTGGGGCCTCTCCCTCCTCACGGCACCAGCAGCCTGCTCCCAGCAAACCCACCGTGACACTGACATCCTTCCTTCCCCCTTTATCCTTCAAGCTGGCTACTCCAAGACCCTGGCATGAGGCTGCGGACAACTTACAAGGGCTTCACCGAAGCAGTGGACCTTTATTTTGACCACCTGATGTCCAGGGTGGTGCCACTCCAGGTACAAGTAAATGAGGCCTTCTTTGATCTTGGCCTGTCTTCCTGTAGGTAGTGGATCATCCTCGGTGAGTTCTCAGACCAAGGGTCCTCCAGTGTTTTTGAACACAGGAACAGGTTCTTCCCCACTGCCTGAAACTGGTAACTGAGGGGCTTGCAATAGTTGTCTTTTGAAAGATCTGTGCATTTTAGTGTTGTCTCACTTGGGTGTGTTACTGAAAGGACAGACAGATGTAAGGGCTCACATTGCCACGTACGGCACAGGAGAGACAGGGATACCGTGATAGCCGGGAACACCCATCCACCGGCGTCTCCATGGTTCCAGAGAGACAGGGATGAGGTGACAGCCAGAAACACCCATCCACTGGCGTCTCTATCGTGCCAGAGAGACAGGGATGAGGTGATAGCCGGGAACACCCATCCCACTGGCCATCTCTATCGTGCCAGAGGAAGACCAGGGATGGAGTGATAGCCGGGAACACCGCCATCCAATTGCCGTCCTCCGTATCCCCGTGCCAGAAGAGACAGGGATGATAGTGATAGCCCGGGAAAACATCCACTGGGCCGTCTCCATGGGTGGCCAGAGAGACAGGGTGGCCCGTAAATAGACCGGGAAACATACCATCACTGCCCAGTGTCCCAGTAGCACTGCGGCTCAGTTTTGCAGGAGGTAGAGCACGTGTGGATTAACCTTTGTCTCTAAGACTGCAGGAGTTTTTATAAATTATAAAAGTCCTGTGGCTGACTTTATGAGATGCTTCCCTCTGCTACCAAAGAGGTGCTGCATGGTACACATTTACTATTCAAAACACGCGTTAAAGTAAATTCTGGGGGAGGAAGTATCTTCATTTTTATATAACGATTGGAAGCTGTAGAAAGCAGGAATGGGAAAAATCACCGCAGTTGCTCTGTAAAACCAGAAAGAACGACACTGAGAAATTAGTACATGAGCAAAAAATCAGTTCAAGTCAGTGCTATGGAATACTCACCACACACATAAATCAAAGGGGACTGCCAGAGGAAACACAGGATGCTCAGTTATATTTGACTTGCAGATAAGCAAGGAGTAATTTTTTTAGTGTAAATATATTCCAAATACTGCATGGGTCATACTCACACTAAAAAATTACTGTTGTAAATTCAAATTTAAGTTTATGTCTGGTATTTTTGCTTACTAAATCTGGCAGCCGATGGAAGCCGCTGGAAGCAAGTAACTAGGAAGTCATTAGCCTAGATCTTGCTGGGAAGCTGGGGCCACTGAAGGGGTCAGCAGGTTGTAGGAGTCGGGTGGGCGGCAGGAAGGCCATCCTGGGAGCAGGGTCAAGGCACTTGCATATCTGCAGTGAGTCACCAATGCGTCTTTTTCAAATAAATGATAACATAATAATTATTATTTAACATATTTAAACAATCACATAACTAATTACCGCCCAAAAGTCCCATCTCTGAATACTGTCACACTGGGGGTTAGGATTTCAACATGTCGATTTTGGGGGAACACAGTCTATTGCAACCACTGTCTATCTCCGGACCTTTTCTGTCTCCCCCAAAGTAAACTCCATGCCGTTAAACTCTCCATTCTTCCCTCTCTCAGCTCATGACAACCATTCTACTCTCTGTCTCCATGCATTTGATCATTTTAGCTACCAAATATAAGTGAAATCACATAGTATTGTGACTGGATTATTTCACTTAACAGTGCTCTCCAGGTTCATCTGTGTCATAGCCTGTGTCAGAATTTCCTTCCTTTTTGAGGATGAATTATGTTCCATTGCATGTATATGACACATTTGTTCATCCATTGACGAACATTTGAGTTGCTTCTGCCTTTTGGCCACTGTGAGTGAAGCTGCTGTGAGCATGGGTGTACGGATACCTTTCTGAGTCCCTGCTTTCACTTCTTTTGCGTATATACCTGGAAGTGAAATTGCTAGATCAACTTGTCCTTCTACATTCAGTTTTTTTAGGAATTGCCATACTGTTTTCCATAGAAATTGCACCAAATTACATTCCCACCAGCAATACACAAGCATTCCAATTTCACCACATCCTTGCCAACACTTGTTATTTCCTGTTTATCTGGCGAGAGCCATCAGTGGGTGTGAAGTGGTCCCTCCTGGTGGTTTTGATTTGCATTTCCCTAGTGATGTTGAGCATCTTTTCATGTGCTTATTGGTCATTTGCATATCTTGGAAGAAATGTTTATTCAAATCTTCTGCTCATTTTTGAATCTAGTTGTTTGTTTTTATGTTGTTGATTATAGGAATTCTTTGTACTTTCTGGATATCAATTCCTTAACAGGACTGGGTCCTTCCCTTCAAGGCAGCAGGTTCCCTTTTGGCTCAGGGTGTGTCTAGCAGTGCCGGAAGCTAGGGCCTGGGATGGGGACCTCTTGACTCTGCTGGTGCCCTTTCCTACTGTGGGTGAGCTGGTATCCAAGATGCAAGAGAAAGTCCTCCTTCCTCTTTGCTCTCCTCTCCCCGAGCAGAAGGCAGGAGCCACTTTCGTTGCTGTGAGCTGCGCTACCTGGGGTTGGGGAGGGGAATGTGCGAGAACTCCCTTAGCCGTGCCAGCTGGTGTCTCCTTAGGCCATGTGCCATGCTAGTACGCTGGCTGGAAGCTCATCCTAGCTCCAGGAATGGCATAGGAACTGTGGTCTTTGTGTCCTCGACTGCCTTTCATGTTTACCTAGAACTCCGGAGCACTTCAGCCCATGGTGGTGAGGCTTCCCGAGAAACTCAAGTTCCAGTCACTAGGGTGGGCAGTTCCTCTCCGGCTAGGGCTGGTCCAAATACTCCCTCCACGTGGATGCTGGCTGAGCCCAGCATGGCTTTATTCTGTGCTGTGACAAGGCAGCACTGAGTTCAATGTAAAGGTCCCCAGTCACTGGGCTCTCCCTTCCCCAAATGCACAGATCCTCTCTCCTCACCACGTGGCTGCCGCTGGGAGATGGGAGAGGGTGGCATTGGTGGTGTAAGACTGTCTCTCTGGCCTGCCTTAATGCCTCTTTTGGTGACATGACGTTAAAACCGGGTACTGTGACTGGTCACCTGAGTTTCGGTTTTTGTGACTGTGCTTTTCTGTGTGCGGATCATCGCTAAATTTCGTGTTCCAGCAGGATGGATGAACGGTGCAGGCTTCTATTCCTCCATCTCGCTCCACTGTCCTTTATTTTCTTTTAGTATTTTTTTGTGATGTACAATCAGTGTACAAATATTTCACCTCCTTGGTTAAGTGTATTCCTAAGTATTTTGTTGTTTCTGATGGTGTCGTAAATGGAATTGTCCCCGACAGTGTATAAAAACAATGGATTTTTGTGCATTGATTTTTTTTATCCTTCAAGCTTACTGAATTGTTAGCTGGACAGTTTTTTTCCGAGGGTGTGGGGATCCGTACTGTTTTCTGCATTTAAGATCATGCTGTCTGTGAACAGAGATAACTTCTTCCTTTCCAACTTGGATGCCTTTGTTTTTTTCTTGACTAATTGCTCCGGCCAGGACTTCCAGTATATGGCGTTGAACAGAAGTGCTGAAAGCACGAATGCTTGGTTTACTCCTGATCCAGAGGAGAAGTTTTCAGTCTTTCACCGCGGAGTATGATGCTGACAGTGGGCCTTCCGTGTGGGGTCTTTGTTATGTTGAGGCAGTTTCCTTCTGTTCCTAGTTGACTGAGTGTTGTTTTAATCATGAAAGAGGCCGGGCGCGGTGGCTCAAGCCTGTAAATCTGAGAATTCTTTTGGACGCCACTTCTAGTCAGAGCAGTGGCGGATTCATCCAAAAAGTCCAGAATCGAGAACCCGATAAATACGGCTACACAACGGTACACCTTTCCTCACTCACATCCAACAAAAATCTAGCCGGCGAGTCGCGTAGGCGGCCCTGTATTCCAGCTCCGGGAAGGCTGAGGCAGGAGAGGCTGAACCCAGGAGCGGCGCTTGCAGTGAAACTGAATCCGCCACTTGCACTCCAGCCTGGGCGGACAAGCCGAGACTCCGTCTCCAAATAAAAAAAAAAAACAACAAAAACAAAAAATCATAAAGCAATGTGAGCAGATAATAGACAGTTGGCCATCCTCACATTGAATCATAGCAAGTGGTTTTCCCCTTAATTGTTACATGTCAGTGTATACACGCAATGATTTGTGTATAATCATGCTATTTTCGTTATTTGTTTTATGACAGATGAGTTTCGCCTTTTTTGCTCAGGCCTGGCAGAGCAACCGGAGCCGTGAGCAAATGAATTAAGAACACTCAATAATTCTCAGCTCACTGCAACCTCCTCTCCCAGGTTCGCGTGATTCTCACTGCCTCAGACCCCATGAGAACTGACGGATTGCAGATGCCCGCCAAGCACGCCCAGCTGATTTTGCATTTTTGTAGGAGATGGGGTTTTCCCTGTTTGGTCAGACTGGTCCTCGACTTCTGACCTCAGTGATCTGCCTGCCTCAGCCCCCCAAATTGCCTGGATTACTATCGTGTGAGCCACTCATGCCTGGCCCTACAAGATTGCCTTTTCACATGGCAAACTTCCTCTGCATACAGGAATAAATCCTTGATCATGGTTTATAAATTTCTTTTAATATGCTGCTGAATTAAGTTGGCTAACATGTTGTTGAGGGTTTTGGCATCAGTATTCATCAGGATTGTTAGTCTGTGTTTTCTTTTCTTATAGTGTCTTTTGTTTGTCATAAAAGAAAAAAGTGTGAACTTTTAAAAAAAAATTTTTTTTTTGAGATGGAGTCTTGCTGTCTCCCAGGCTGGAGTGAGCGGCGCGATCTTGGCTCACTGCAAGCTCCGCCTCCTGGGTTCACTCGATTCTCCTGCCTCAGCCTCCTGAGTAGCTGGGACTATAGGTGCCGCCACCACGCCCGGCTAATATTTTGTATTTTTAGTAGAGACGGGGTTTCACCATGTTAGCCAGGATGGTCTCGATCTCTTAACCTCGTGATCCACCCGCCTCAGCCTCCCAAAGTAAAAATGTGAACTTTTTTTGACACTTCTATATCCAGCAAAACTCAAAAATGAGGGAAAAATTCAGAAATTCCCAAAGAAAGGTGGAAAGAGTTTATTACTGTATTCTACCTTATAGTATAAGGTAGGATGTGTTCCTTTCCTTTCAATTTTTGGGAAGGGTTTGAGGAAGACTGGTGTTAATTTTTCTTTAAATGTTTGGAAGAATTTACCAGTGACGCCATCTGGTCCTGGACTTTTCTTTGTTGGGAGGTTTTTAGTTACGGATTTAGTGTCCTTACTCTAGTTACAGGTCTATTCAGATTTTACGGTTCTTCATGATTGAGTTTTGGCATATTATATGTTTCTAGGAATTTGTGTGTTTCATCTAGGTTATTTAGTATTTAATTTGTTGGTATACAATTTGTTCACATTCCTCTTTTGTAATCCTTTTTATGTAAAATCAGCAGTAATAACCTCATGTTGTTTCTGATTTTAGTTGAATCATATCTTGTTTTCTTAGTTTAGCTACACTTTGTCAATTTTGTTGATCTTTTCAAATAACCAACTCTTGGTCTCATTAATTTTTCTTTATTGTTTTTCTATTCTCTCATTGTATATCTCTGCGCTATTTTTTTATTATTTCCTTCCTTCTGCTACCTTTCAGTTTGTTTCCCTTTTTCTGGTTCCTTAAGGTGTAAAGTTAGGTTGTTGATCTGAGACCTTTTGTCTTTTAAATGTATTTATAGCTATAAAATTTCCTTCTTTGCACTGCTTTCATTCTAATTTATAATTTTGTTTCCATTTTCATTTTTCTCAATATGTTTTCTAATTTCTCTTGTGATTTCCTCTTTGGACTATTGGTGAAGATTTTATTATTTCCACATACTTGAATTTTTCAGGATTTTTTTTGGCTATTGATTTCTAGTTTCATTCCTTTGTGATTGGGAAAAATAAAACTTTGTTTGATTTCAATTTTTTAAATTTATTAAGGCTTGAGGCTGGGTGTGGTGGCTCATGCCTGTAATCCTAGTACTTTGGGAGGCCGAGGCAGGTGGAACACTTGAGGTCGGGAGTTAAAGACCAGCTTGGACAACATGTTGAAACCCGTTCTGTACTAAAAAATACAAAAATTAGCCAGGCGTGGTGACGGGTACCTGTAATCCCAGCTACTTGGGAGGCTGAGGCACAAGAGTCAGTTGAACCTGGGAGATGGAGGTTGCAGTGAGCCAAGGTTGTGCCACTGCACTCTAGCCTGGGTGACAGAGCGAGACTCTGTTTTTTAAAAAAAGAAAAATTTATTAAGGCTTGTTTTTTGGCTTACTATATGGTTTATCCTGGAGAGTGTTTTATGTGCCCATGAGAAAAAAATGTATTGTGCTACTTTTGGGTGGAATGTTGTATATATATATATATGTTAGGTCCAACTGGTCCATAATGTTGTCCAAGTCCTCTATTTGGTTACTAATTTTCTGTCTGGTTATTCTATCCATTATTGATATTCAGATATTGAGTCTCCTGCTATGATTGTAGAGCTTTCTATTTTTCCCTTAATTAAATTTTGCCAGTGTTTGGCTCATATACTTTGGAATTCTGGTGTTTGGTGCATCTGTGTTTATAATTGTTATATCCTTTTGGTGAACTGACCCTTTTATCCTTATATATATTTTATCATGTCTGTCTTTGCCTCTTGTAACGGTTTTTGATATAAAGTCTATTTTGTTTGATATCAGCAAAGCCACCCCTGCTCTTTTGATTACTGTTTGCATAAAATACCTTTTTCCAGCCTTTCACTTTCAACCAGCATGTATCCTTAGATCTAAAGTGAGCATCTTGTAGACAGTATATAGCTGGATATTGGTTTGTTAAAAATTCATTCTGCCAGGTATGTCTTTTGATTGGGGAGTTTAATATATTTACATTCAAAGTAATGACTGATAGAGAATCACTTGCTTTTGCCATTTTCTTGTTTTCTGTATGTCTTACAGCTTTTTGTCCCTCATTTCCTTTATGACTGCCTTACTTTGTATCTAGTTGATTTTTTATAGTGACACTTTTTTATAGTGATTCCCTTTACTTTGGGATAAGGTAAAGGATATGTAATATCTTAAAGTTGTGACATTCTATTTTAAGTTGATACCAACTAAACTTCAATTGCACACAAAAACTCGACTCCTGTACAGCTCCGCCCCCCACTTTATTTTATTGATGTCACAAATTATGTCTTCATATTGGGTGTACCCATTAACTTAGATTTATAATTATTTTATATCTTTTAAAATCTTATAGAAAATAAAAAGACACATTGTAAAGAAGAATTATAATAATATTTTTATTTTTTTATGTGTCTGTCTTTGCTGGAGAACTTTATATTTTCATATAGCTTCACATTACTCTCTAACATTTTTTCACTTCAACTTTAGGTGTTTTTTTTTGGCAAGGTCTAGTGGTAATGAACTCTCTTAGCTTTTCTTTGGGAATTTCTTAATTTTTCCCTCATTTTTGAGTTTTGCTGGATATAGAAGTGTCAAAAAAAAGTTCACACATTTTTCTTTCGCACTTTGACTATATCACCTCATTGCCTTTCGGCCTGAAAATTTTCTGGCTGAGATACCCTTTATGGTCTCACTGAGGATCCCTTGTAAGTGACCAGAACTTCTGGCATTCAAGAATCTCTCTTTGTCTTCGGTGGATTGATTATGGTGTGTCCCTGTGTGGTTCTGTGGAATTTTTTGAGCTCCTTGGAGTTACATAATCATGTCTTTCCTCAAATTGGAGAAGTTTTCAGCTAATATTTTGTAAAAACAACCTCCCTGCCCTTTTATCTCTCCTTTTCTTCTAAGAATCCCATAATTCACATACTGTTCTGCTTGAGGGTGTTGTGTAAGTCCCTTAGGCCCTGTTCAGTTTTCTTTATTCTTTTATCTCCTCAGACCTGATCATTTCTGATAACCTGTGTTTAAGTTTGCTTTTCTTTCTTCTGCCTGTTTGAATCTGCTATTGAACTCCTCTAGTTAATTTTTTCAGTTTATATATGGTATATTTCAGTCCCAGAAGTTCCTTTGGTTCTCTTAAAAATAATCTCTGTTTCTTTGTTGATATTCTCTTTTTCTTCATGTGTCATTTGCCTGGCTTCCTTGAGCTCCTTGAGCGTATTTACAACGGCTGTTGTAGATCTTGCTCTACTGAGTCTGGTGTGTGTTTCTTCAGATACTGCTTTTGGAGATTTATTTTGTTCCTTTGATGACTCATACTTCCCTGTTTCTTTTTATGTTTGTGTTTTATTGGTTGAACATTGGGCATTTGAGAAAACAGACACCTATTTCAGTTTTTGCATGTTTTCAGGGGAACCCTCACTAATGAGTGGGCCCCTAAGCCCGGAGACCAGCCCAGCATGAAGGCTTAAGACCTGATCTTTTCTGGGCATGTGTTCTGTCTGTACCTGTGTGTGTGCGTCCTTCCCTACCTCCCTGGTTGCTTTCAAGTGTCTTTCATTCCCAGAGTCTCACCCCAGCTGCTTCTTGTGCCCTTAGATGCTCTTCATTTTCTTCTGCTTGTAATTCCTTCCCCCCAGGCATCCAAGGGTTTGTAGTCCTCTGGCAGTTTTCATATGCCGCAGAACCTGCCACTGCCATCTTTAGCATCCAGCCTCAAGTCCAAACTATGCTGACGATTCCTGTTTGAGCTCCATGTCAGACAAGACAGAAACCAGTACGTTGGGCAGAACAAGTTAGAACATTGTAAACAAGTTCCGTTTTGCTTCTTCCATCATGAGGGACCTGGGAGTTGGGATGCGTCCTCCTGACCACACCATGCTACACTGGGGTGGGGCAAGACCTTGTGAAAACATCATACAGTTTTGTACCATTTTGCATATGACTTTGTGTTTTGATTTGGTGGTCACTTGTTTGGTTAGACATTTGACTAATTTCCAGAGCTCCTATTAATTTATTTTAGTCAGTCGAGTTGTTTTTTTGATGTTTTCATGGGAGAACAAGGGCCTAATGCTTCTTCCTCCACTGTCTTATTGATACGAATCTTTTGAGATTTTAGTTTTCAAATGGGATATTTTGCTAGTCACTGGTGATGGGCGTGGCGGGGTTGGATACTACGGTTCCCTTTACACACTCAGCTCCTGGCTGTCTATCTTTTCTCTCCAGTACAAGCGTGGGGGACCCATCATTGCCGTGCAGGTGGAGAATGAATATGGTTCCTATAATAAAGACCCCGCTTATATGGCCTACGTCAAGAAGGTGAGAGTCCTCGTGGCGCTTCTTTAGATTCCTTCCTCTGGAGTGTGTTGTGGGCTGTGGTGTGTTGTGGGCTGTGGTGTGACATGTGAGTCTTGTATTTTTCTCATATTAATACATCCTCCAACGTCATTTATTAGTGAATTTTCTCTGTTGTTTTATTTCAGCAGGGTTGTCACTTATTTACCCTTGATTGAGTTTCATCTGGGAATTTCAGTACATACCTGGTATTGCAGGGGCTGGGAATGAAGGAATTGGCTTAACTGCACGGTAATGATTAGGAAGGGCTTCCTGGAGAGGCTGCTCCAATTCTAAAGTCTAAAGCGGTGGTTCCCAGCCCAGGCTGCATACTGGCTTTATCTGGGGAGTTTTAAGAAATCCCTGCGCCCAGGCCTTGAAGCGCCTCCTGCTATACCCCGTTCCCGCAGCCTGCTTCTTGGCCCTGGAGCCTCTCAGCGGTTGTTGACTTAGTTACTCAGCTGCGGAGAGGAGAGTGCAGCTGCCGCAGGGATGTCCCAGTCCACTCATGCTTCCCTGCTGTCTGGGCGGAGGTACCCATGTGTGACTCAGGTGGGCAAAGAGAAGCAGCGGTGTCCAGCCTCTGTGGTCCCGAAGCTCTTAGGAGCATTCCCCAGCCTCTCTCTGAGTCTGCTGGGAGAGTGGTGTGAGAGAAGAGGTGCCCACCCCTGGCCTGGCTCTGCAGATCTCTGGTGCTCAGGAGGGAGCAGTTACCCCCTGCGGGGTGGAGTCAGTAAATGAATGCCCAGGAAGTGTTAGGGGTGTGTGTATGTGGTAGGGACCTAAGGAAACGCTTGCTAAATATCAGTGAATGATAGCGTGAGGTGGTAGATACAGGGCTCTTGATAAATCCCACCTGAGCTCATGGATTGAACTCTGCAGCTCCCTTGTGCCTAAGACAAGAGCCCCTTCTACTCTTTCCTTCCCAGCATGTGGGACTGGACACGAGCCTTATTCGCCCAGCACATATCTCCCTGCCTACCCACTTCCAAAAGATTTCAGCGGAAATAAACAGTCTTGGCCTGATATCTGCAGAGAAGATTATAGGAAGGCCCCTCTCTGGGGGTTTCTGATCCAAAAGATCCTAGAGCCTCAGCACAAGCCTTTGGCTCTGGGTTCAGGCCCATGTGGTCCTGGGCCCTGTAGCCTGCGATGCTTGACTTCACCCCTCCGAGGTGCGTCTGTACTGTGAAGACATTAACTGTGAGGCTTGCCTAGGACAGTCTGTGTCAGGTGCTGAGCGGAAGGCCTGGCGCGGCAGTGACTGCCCTGTGGGTGTCGGGATGTTCTGAGTGGTTCTTGTCGTCACTGCCCCTCAGGCACAGCGTTTCTTCCGCTTCACTCTCGCTTTACAGCTGGGAGGATGCTTCCTGCTGTTCCGGACGTGGGACGTGCACCATGGGCACGTGACAGGGCATGGTGGGCCCTCCTGGGCCTTGCCATCCCCCAAACCCACACCGGCTAGCATGGGGAAGGGACAGGCCTGTCGCTTGTGGTGTGAGTGAAGGGAAGGATGTAGGTGTCATCCTGGAGGCCTGACCTGCTCGCTGGAGCCCAGCAGACAGTGGCGGGTGACACGTGGCAGCAGGCTTCCCTGAGCCGGCCTCAGTGTAGACTCGCCTAGGCATGCTAGCTGGCCCACTGGGCAGCTTCCAGATCCAGGGGCTGTCCCAGCTTGCCAGCCCTGCCCCTGCTGTGATGGGAATTCATGCTGACTGGAGCTGTGCTGAGTATGGAGGTGCAGATGGCAGGAGACTTTTCTGTTTTTGGCAGAGAAATAAACGCTTTATTCAGCATCTCTCCCTCCAGCTCTTTGGGCTACCCAGCTGCAGCTGTGTGTCCCTGCAGACGCTCTGAGGAGCCAGGGCAGACGTGGGCTTATCTCATTTCCCCCCACAGGCACTGGAGGACCGTGGCATCGTGGAACTGCTCCTGACTTCAGACAACAAGGATGGGCTGAGCAAGGGGATTGTCCAGGGAGGTAATTGCACTTGTGTTGGGCCGTGGGGGCTGGCGACGGCCCTGGGCTGGCTGTGCACACTCTCCCTGTGGGACTGCGACCCAAGTAGGAGTTTCTGTGGTGCCTGTTATTCTCCCGTGCATGTGGCACTGGGCTGCAGAACCTTGGGTTCCATGAGTGGGGAGGGTCTGTGTGAGAGACCATGGTGCGTGGCCAGCTGGGTGGCTGTTCTCCCGCCCTGCTGGGCACTCGGGCTCCAAGGGCACTCTGCAGATGACTGCCTCATGTGTGGGCTTCCTGTTTTCGGAACGTTGCAGCTCCGTTTTTCCCAGCTGCATGGGCCCCGAACCTGGTAGTGACTGTGAGCTCCTGTCCAGTCTGCCTGGCACCTAAGCCATTGTTAGCTTTATCTCCCAGTGCTCCTGGAATCCCTACAGGCCTCAGCACTCACCTGCTAGCAGCACCCCTGGCCTGCATTGCTGCAGCAGCATTTTCACTGTTGCCTCCACACTGTGTTCTCCGCGTGCCTCTGAAAATGTCGTCCAGATTACCGTACCCTGCTGAGCGCTTGGCGTCTCTGTCTCACTCAGGGCGCAGATTACCGTACCCTGCTGAGCGCTCGGCGTCTGTCTCACTCAGAGGGCAGATTACCGTACCCTGCTGAGCGCTGGGCGTCTCTGTCTCACTCAGAGCGCAGATTACCGTACCCTGCTGAGCGCTGGGCGTCTGTCTCACTCAGAGTGAAGATTACCGTATCCTGCTGAGCGCTGGGTGTCTCTGTCTCACTCAGAGTGCAGATTACCGTATCCTGCTGAGCGCTGGGTGTCTCTGTCACACTCAGAGTGAAGATTACCGTATCCTGCTGAGCGCCGGGCGTCTCTGTCTCACTCAGAGTGCAGATTACCGTATCCTGCTGAGCGCTGGGCGTCTCTGTCTCACTCAGAGTGCAGATTACCGTATCCTGCTGAGCGCCGGGCGTCTGTCTCACTCAGAGTGCAGATTACCGTGTCCTGCTGAGCGCTGGGCGTCTGTCTCACTCAGAGTGAAGATTACCGTACCCTGCTGAGCGCCGGGCGTCTCTGTCTCACCCAGAGTGAAGATTACCGTACCCTGCTGAGCGCTGGGCGTCTGTCTCACTCAGAGTGCAGATTACCGTACCCTGCTGAGCGCTGGGCATCTCTGTCTCACTCAGAGTGCAGATTACCGTACCCTGCTGAGCGCCCGGCGTCTCTGTCTCACTCAGAGTGAAGATTACCGTATCCTGCTGAGCGCTCGGCGTCTGTCTCACTCAGTCTCACTCAGAGTGAAGATTACCGTACCCTGCTGAGCGCCGGGCGTCTCTGTCTCACTCAGAGTGAAGATTACCGTATCCTGCTGAGCGCTCGGCGTCTGTCTCACTCAGAGTGAAGCGCAGGTTCTGGGAATGACCCTGAAAGGCCTCTCCACGTGGCCTCCAGGACCCAGCTGAGCTCACTTCCTGCTCCTTCCGTTTGCTCACTGTTTCCCCCTCTTTACTGCTCCTCCAGCGTCGGGAGCCCCAGCCCCGGGGCTTTGCTCTTCTTCAGAGCTGCAGGCTGTTCTCTAAAGTTAGTGAGGCTTTTTGTGGCACCACACGTGAAACTGAACTTCCTCCTTGGGGCTCACTCAGTCCTTCTCCCTGATTTCTTTTCGCCCTCTCACATTGGGGGTAGTTTATTTATTTCATTGATCTGTTTCACCCAGCAGTACTCTTGGCGGGGCTTGGGGTTTGGCTGGTTCAGCTGTGCTCAGGGGCCCAGGTGTGGTTCGTGGCCTGGGTGAGCATAGCATTCTCCCATGGATGCAGCGGAGCCCTTCCTGTGGCCTCCTGCAACCGTGCTTGTCTGCTCTGGCACATTCCACGCTTTCTTTTCTTTCTTTTGCATTCCTCCACAGACCGAGCTGCTGGAACATGTCGCTGTATCCCTGCAGCAGCGCCTGGCATGTGGCTGGCACCCAGGGAGGCCTGGCATTGTGGCTGGCACCCAGGGAGTGAGTGCCATGGATGGGGAGGAAAAGGCTTTTGTCCCCAGGCAGAGTCCCTGTGTCTCCGGCATGGGCAGGACCGGCGGTGATTCCCACGGCTTCCACGCGGTGGCAGTGTCTCCCCACGGCCGCTTCCAAGGTCTGCTCCAGGCTCCTGCGGGCTGTGGCTGTGCGTGGAGACTCCTTTTGACACTGGAGCACATTTTTAGCGCTTGGCAGCCTCCCGGTTACAGGCCTTGCAAGGCAGCCGGGAGTCTGTACTGCTTTTCCCTGTGGCCCTCCCACCTCCAGGCACCCACCTGCGTGCCCCTGTTGCCACCTGCTGCCTGGAATAACTTCTTTTTTTTTTAAATAAAAAAAAATTAAATGGTCTAAAAGTGAAATACTTGAAAATGTTGGTAGAGAAATATAGTGTAGCCGACTCTTCACCATATTGTCCAGAAATGACCATTTTCAAGTCTTTGGCTTTTTCTTTGGATATTTTCCTTCTTATTTCTAAATACTGTGAACATAGAGACCTGCATCATTTGCTTTAAAATCCTGCCCCTTGGCCGGGTGCGGTGGCTCAGGCCTGTAATTCCAGCATTTTGGGAGGCTGAGGCAGGCAGATCATCTGAGGTCAGGAGTTCGAGACCAGCCTGCCCTACATGGCGAAACCCCGTCTCTACTAAAAATACAAAAAATTAGCCAAGTGTGGTGGCGGGTACAGGTAATCCCAGCTACTCGGGAGGCTGAGGCAGGAGAATTGCTTGAATCCGAGAGGCAGAGGTTGCAGTGAGCTGAGATGGTACCACTGCACTCCAGTGGGCGCCAGCGTGGGCCTCCGGATGTATGACAGGGGTTCACGGCAGGCACCTGCCACGTGGGTGATGCCCTGCACAGTATCTGTGAATTCTCAGGGTGCCAGCCGGCTCTCTTTGCAGTGTGCTGAGTTTTTAGTGTAATTATTCTGTTCGTTTTTCTTTTCATTTCAAATTCTCTTTCCTCCCCTCAACCCCGCCCCCCCGGACTGCTTTCTCTTTTAAACAAATGCTTTGCCAGAGATGTCCCAGACGCCTGCCGCTGGTGTTTCTCAGGTCCTGTACCTGTCCGAGTCTGGCTGTCTGGAGGCCTGGCTCTCGTTGTTCTGGCTTGCATGGTGGGGGGTCTGCTGCACGGCTGCATCCCGCGTGGAATACGTTTCCTGTCGCTCCATGGCTTCCCGGCACCCGCTGTTGCTGCAGCAGCACAGGACACTCCAGTTCCCTAGCCTCTCCTGGGTCCTCTCCCTCCTCGCCCCCTGCCATATTCCTCGGGGAGACCGCCCTCCCCTTCAGGTGCTGCTGCGCGTTCTGCGAGCTGGCACAGTTGCGTGGTGGGCGTGCGGGTTGTGCGTGTTCCACCGTCTTGTCCTCGGGTCTTTCGGTCATCCTGGTGTTTGTGTATTGGGAGCTCCTATTGATTGTCTACATCTTTTCTATTCTTTATCTCTTTGCCTTTCAGTTCTACTTTCTGGGTGACTTCCTGAACTTTTATCTTCCAGTCCTCCGGTAATTTCCTGAGTCACAATTTTCTTGAATATATTTCTCTTCTCATAGCATACTTTAAAAATGGACACACTGCCTTTCTTATTTCCCTCCGAGGGTAGTTGGCTTTTTACAAAGTGCTACCTGTGTTCCTTTCCCCTGGCGCTGCCCGCGTTCCTTTCCCAGCGCTGACTGTGTTCCTTTCCCTGGCACTGCCTGCGTTCCTTTCCCTGGCACTGCCCGCGTTCCTTTCCCAGCGCTGACCGTGTTCCTTTCCCTGGCACTGCCCGCGTTCCTTTCCCTGGCACTGCCCGTGTTCCTTTTCTAGGGCTGCCCCTGTTCCTTTCCTAGTGCTGCCGGCGTTCCTTCCCCAGGCACTGCCTGGGTTCCTTTCCCTAGCACTGCCTGCTGTTTTCCTGCTGTCTGTTCCACTCCATCTCCTGTGCCAGGGGATGCTCTGGATCAGCCCCTACCCAGCAGCTTAGGAAAGAGGCTCTTGGCTGCCACTTGGAGCTCTGGGTGTGGGAGAGGCTGTTGACAGGAGTTCTTCCCCCTGGGGTGACTGGGCCGTGGTGGCTTTTTCAAGAAGGGACACTCACTTGTCGGAGTTTGGGGCAAGGTCTTCCACTGTGAAGTGTTTCTGGAGAAGTCCTGGGGTCTTGCGGCAGCTGTTCTGGGCCAGGCCGGTGGTGGACAGGAATGTGCTGTGGAGACTGCCTGCCTCCTCTTCCCGCCCTCCCCCCACCTGCCACACACACCTGCTCCCGCCCTCCCCCCACCTGCCACACACACCCGCTCCCGCAGCAGCCGGGCCCAGTGTTCTCAGGCAGGATGGCCCCCGAGGAGGGGATGGGCCCAGGTGAGAACAAGGATCGAGGCTGAGGACGGGCATCCTCCCATCTCATGGTGATCAGGGCCTGGGGCTGGGAGTGGGATGAGGCCTTGGGCTGGAGCTGGAGCCGACTGTCACCCCTTCCGCACTCCTAGACCATTTGCTGTCCCTGTGTCCTTCTCAGTATTCCAGGATTTGCCAGTGTCTCCTCTTGATGTTCCTCGTGGCCGTCTGCCTGTCCACCCTCCTCTCGTATTTGTGAGAGGTGTCAGGAAGGACAGGACAGAGATGCCTGTGTCCACTTAGCCGTGCACAGCCTGTGGACATTGAGTGCGGCCTGCTCAGTTTCAGACTGGCCTCCTGTCTTCAAAGGGCTTCTGGCTTCAGGGGAGGGGTCTGGGTGGAGGGTCCCACCCAGTGGGCTGCTGGAGGACAGGGATGGGGCAGGGCCATGGGGTGGTGTCAGGGGGACCCAGGTCTGCCGCTACCTTGAGGTCAATTACTGTGACCTGGAGGCAAGTTATTGCACCTCCCCAGAGCCCACCTGTCGCTCGCGTTTCTTCACTGGCATCAAAGGCTTTTGTCCTGCGGCAGCGTATCAGGGTGGCCCGGCTTGCCAGGCTGGCTCAGCCTCTCTCGTGTGTGCCTAGGCCTGCGGGAGCCCAGGCCACAGCCGTGCCTGTGAGCTGACTGTTAGGCAGACAGTAGGCGAGAGGCCCCAGGGTAAGGCTGTGCCACGGGGGTGGGCGTGGGCATCTCCGGCTGTCGGCCAGACAGGGCGCACCTTTCTTGAGCATATGTTTCACTGATAGAAAGCCACTGAAAATAGGGTTTTAAATTTTAAAAGGAACATGTTATGGGGTAGAATACAGAATTAGCCCTTATCAAGAAATCAGAGAGGAATCTTTGTTTACATCATTACCTTGGACCGGGTGCTTGGGGTGCCAAGGAAGGATCAGGCTCTGGTTCCTACAAAAGAACAAGGAACTGAAGTGCGTGCTTGGCTTGCAGAAGTCACAGTTGATCAAGGCCAGGTGCCCAGTGGGTGACTGCCCAGCTCTGTGCCACTGTGGCGGAATCCAAGACAACAAGATCGGTCTCCTGGAGTCCCGGCTGACTTTTTATTCTTTATTTATTTTTGTGAGACACAGTCTCGCTCTGTCACCCAGGCTAGGCTGCAGTTGCACAATCTCGGCTCACTGCAACTTCTGCCTCTTGGGTTCAAGTGATCCTCCCACCTCAGCCTCCCAAGTAGCTGGGATTACAGGCGTGCACCAGCAACCCTGGCTAATTGTTTTTGTATTTTTTAGTAGAGATGGGGTTTCATCATGCTGGCCAGGCTGGTCTTGAACTCCTGGCTTTAAGCGATCCACCCACCTTAGCCTCCCAAAGCATTGAGATTACAGGTGTGAGCCACTGCACCTGACTGTGGCTGACTTCTAACTGGAGGTGGGAAACCATGTCAGGGCTGGTTACTTTACTGTGCTGGTGGATTGAGAAGGGTCTGGGGTCACTTAGAAGGTCCCTGGCTTTGAGACAATGCTTTGTCTCTCTCTCTCCTCTTCCCTTTAACAGTGTTGGCCACCATCAACTTGCAGTCAACACGCGAGCTGCAGCTACTGACCACTTTTCTCTTCAACGTCCAGGTAAGTCCAGCCCCAGGGAAGCTGCCGCCCAGCCTGCTCAGTGGCCTGTGGGAATTCCAAATGCCTGTCAGCGTGCTCAGCTTCCCCAGTGCAGGGAGCTGGACCCAGGGCTGTTGGCCTCTTGACCCCTGGCCCATGCCGCTGCGTGCCTGCAAGACCCGCTGCCCACAAACAGCTCTGAGGGCTGCTGTGTAGGCCGATGCAGTGTGGATGTCACTCACTGCCCTGAGAGAGGGGCCCTTTTGGTGCACTCCTGGAGGACTCGACTTTTGTGGCCTCAGTTAGCTCCACACTTGCCCCCAGGGATTGAGGGGGAAGAAAAACTTCCCCGTCCTGTCCTACACAGGCATCGGACCTTCACCCGTGAGGGCCCTGCAATCCTAGAAAGATAACTGTCATCAGCAAGGCACGAAGCCTGGTCCCCTTCAGGTCTGGAGAGAGGCAGGAGTTTCCACATGTCCCTCAATATCTGTCAAACCGATGGGCATTTACGCTGCACTGTAGTTCTGACTGACCTCTCTGTCAAGCGCGTGTGCCCCTCCGGAGCAGATGGATGGATGGGGCCATGCTGCCGCCCTCTGCAGAGCTGAGAGGCCCTGGCTGTGCCCTGGCTCACTGCCCCTGTGCCGCTTGGTCACGCTGGTCCTGGGCCTGGAGTGGAGACTGCCCCGTGCCGCATGGTCACGCTGGTCCTGGGCCTGCAGTGGAGCTGTGCTGGATGGACAGGCCCGGACACCTATGGAGATGCTGGGCCACTTTCCGTTCTGGCTGATGGTCTTTCAGAGCAGCGGCTGTGTCCTCAGGCACATCTGTGTGGAGCCACCACAGCCGTGTGGGGCCGTGTGTGTGTTTGATGTGGCTCCTCCTGGGGTTCAGGTGGCCAGAGTAGGTGGGGAGGCTCCCAGGAGGAGATGGGAGGGCTGGCCCCACTCCCAGGCAGGCTCCCGTGAGGCAGGTCACGCGCGATCCAGCTGGGTCTCTGCCTTCCTTCCTCGACATTTCCTGAGTGCCTGCCGGTGTGTGTAGTGGAGTGGGGAGCCTCTCACGCTTCTGACTGAGATGACGGGTTTCCTGCCCTGTGCTGTGTGACCTTGGGCAAGTTACTTAACCTCTCTGTGCATCTCTGTCTTCTAAGTGAGGGTGATGAGAGGACATTGCCTTACGGTGCCACCTCACAGGGTTGTTTGAGGATTAAATGAGGTAATATTTGGAAAGTGCCTAGCACGGCAGCTGATACAGCAGAATGCCTTACGTTTACCTAGCCTTCAAGGTCATCCTTAGAGAGGTAGCCGTGCCCGAGCCTTCCCAGGCCAGCTTTCCTGCTAACAGAATGGTCCTGCTGAAGGGCTTTATGTGCACAGTCCAGAGATGTCTGTTTTCATTAAGGAAGGGGACTTGGACACCTCCCTGTTTGAATCAAGGGCTGTCTGAATGCACAGCGCAGGCCCCAGGTGTGCGCCACGTGGTGATGTCGATAGCACCTCACTCGCCCTCCGCGCCCGAGACTGGTGACGGGGATAACTATGCAAGTGCTTCCTGAGCACCTCCGACCTGCCAGGCCATGTGCTGAGGGCGTTACGCGCACTCTCTCATCTCATTCTCCCAACAGTCATGTGAGCCAGTGAAGGAGATGGCCATAGAGTGTACAAGGCACCCTGTAAGTAGTGGCCTGGGGACTGCAGCACAGTCCCACTGCAGAGCTCCAGCTCGTAGCCAGTTGTGCAGTGCAGTGGCCTGGCACGTGGGTGGACACTGGTACCCCCAAGCCAACAGCCTTGCTTCTGGCATGGGAGATTTCTGACTTGCGGGACTTTGAATCCGCCTCTCCCTTTTTAGTGATTTAAACGTGGTATGGTGTGTCTCCTTCTTGGAAGGTAGGTGTCTTGTAAAGAAAACCAAGCCACCAGTCTTGCTAAAAGAATTCTCGTAACTACTCTGGCTTTAACCTGGGTATGGCTGGTACCTTCTACTCAATGGACCGTAAGTTTGTCCCGTCCCCCTGGATCAGATGTTGTTGCTGCGTATGCAGTGGCGCTCTAAACATGAGGCCATCACTGACCTAGAGATACCTGACAAGCTGTCACTGGATGAGTGAGGAAGACTGTCTCACACAGGGCCTGGAATACTAGCACGTTAGTCTTTACACCTCCCCCAGGCGCTCTGGGCTTCTGCAAACATGGCAGAGTGGTCATGGTCCCAGGAATGATCTTGGCCTCCTTGGGGCAGTCCTATGCCAAAGTCAGTATTCAGAAAGAAGATTTAAGGTTTGTTGAGTGGCCCAGCCAAGGTATAAATCCAAACTGTTGGTACAGAACCTGCACCATGAATAGCTGTGCTGTAAGGCCCTGATTTTCTGGTTCAGAAAATGCTGCTGTTTAAACTGAGTTGGACCTTGAAGAGGGCCCACTCGTAGCGTCTGATTGTTCTGCTAATGGAGCCAATACCCGGGGGGTCTGTATCCACAGTAAACCTCCCAGATACGGAGTTGTCCTGGGTAGAACGTCCCTCTTCCCTGGAAGAGGACAGGCAAAGCTTGGCTTGATCCAGAACCAGTGTCCTCTTGCTAACATGTGCACAACATTAAAACCATCAGGGTTTGCCGTAGCGACTTTGGGAGCTTTATCTGCTCTGTACCTGCACGTGTGGGGTCCACATGTGGCAGGAGAACTGGTGTGCAGGTGGATTTGGCCGTCACCTATGCCCCACCTCCAAAGACCTCTAAGGCAGTGGGTATGCAGCCAGGGAAGAGTGGAGAGGGCAGGGATCCTGGGGCTCCCCTTCACGAAGAGATTCCCTCTTTTGTGTCTGGCCAGCCTGCTTGTCTAACTCTCTTTTTGTGGTGTCCAGGGGACTCAGCCCAAGATGGTGATGGAGTACTGGACGGGGTGGTTTGACTCGTGGGGAGGCCCTCACAATATCCTGGATTCTTCTGGTGAGTGCCTGCAGTTACTACATCCAGCGTGTGTGCTACTTAAGAAGTGAGGATGAGTTTCAGTCACTGGCTAACGAATGTAGGTCAGCCATAGGGGTGCAAGGCTGCTGGGATTATCTGTGTGCAGAAGTTGGCTCTGGATATTCCTGAGTCATTTGCCTTGACACTTTGATGAATGGGAGGGCTTTTTAGCATTGCTTGTTCGTGTTTTTGTAATTAGAAGGGTAATGCATGCCTATTGCAAACATCCAGAAAATACAGAAAAAGTATAGAGAAGAAATAAAATTCCCAGAGCCCAGAGACAACATTTAGATGTACACCATGTAGGCAGTTCTCTGTGTATCTGTACCGACAGCTCTATACGCACACACAGAGACAGATGCAGCCATGCTCCGCTGCATGGCACCTGCTTGTACCGGTGAATGCACATACGGACCGCTTTCTGTATGACCAAATACAGACTTACACGACTGCTTTAAAGAATGTGAAGAGCCCCGTTCTAAGCCACGCTTCGTGGACACAGTCTCTCGGGCCGTTTCGGGTGGTGGTTAAGCGCACGCCATCTCGGTGAGCGTCCCGGAGCCCGCGCTCTGCGCACCTGGCGTTCCCGGTGGCCCTCAGCGCCTGTTCATGCGCATGCGCACCCCTCAGCCCCGGAGAGACGGCAGCTTCAACCGCTGCTGCCGAGTGGATGCACCCATTTCCCACAGATTCAGCAACGCTGAGTATTAAAATAGCTTTTAATGTTGGTCTACTCAGTACATCATTGTTTAGTCTGCATTTCTTTGATTTATATTAATAAAATATATATTTATTAAACCATTGGTTTTTCTCCTTTGCTATGGTCTTGTCATGTCATGGTTGATTTCCTAACAAAGGCAGAACAGGGGAGGTGTCAGAGTTTTCTCTCTAGGGATGCATCCATCCGTGTGCATTTGATACACCTGGTCGGGCAGACTCACATGGGGATTGCGCTGGCTGCAAGGCCCTGGCCGCCCTGGGCTGCAGGTGGTCCACATGGAGCTCAGAGACTTGGCCAGGATTTACAAACAACTGGAGGCTCGAGCTCTGGGGCCATGATTCTGGCCCACACGTCCTCCACCCCTAATCTTCTGTGATTGGGGTTTTAGTGAGAGCTAGGAGGACAGAGTGACAACGTTGGCCTTGAGGTGGGACTGGGCAAGAGGAGAGTAGTGAAGGGACCCCAGCTCATCTCAGACTTTAACTCACTCTGCACATCCCCTTTCTCCCTCCTCCGGCAGAGGTTTTAAAAACCGTGTCTGCCATTGTGGACGCCGGCTCCTCCATCAACCTCTACATGTTCCATGGAGGCACCAACTTTGGCTTCATGAATGGAGCCATGCACTTCCATGACTACAAGTCAGATGTCACCAGCTATGGCAAGTATTCGTCAACACTGCTCTCCCTGGTCTGCCGTGCATGGGCATGGCTGGGGCTTGCTATGGAGAGGCCTTCAGGGTCAACTTCCGGCACCTTCAGTGTCTTTGGCGATGGAGGACCTGGAGAAGGCAAGGGCTTTGTCTGGACGGTCACGTTACACTCCCAGAGGAGGGAAGCCTCAAGGCGGGTGGTGTGCCTGTGAGCCGGCCACTCTACAGAGGGGCCTTTTTGGCAGAGGTGGCCTCCGCTCCCTGCCCAGGCCCTTGAGGAGGTGTGATCCTGCCCCCTTTAGGTTGAGAGTTCCAGAAAGTAGAAATTACACCTGCAGCTAGAAATTTAGGGCCATGCTGTGATCATGGATAGTTTGTGTTTTTTTGAATTTGTGAGAGAGTATCATCTGTCACCCAGGCTGGAGTGCAGTAGTGTGATCATAGCTCACTGCAGCCTCGAATGCCTGGGCTCAAGTGATCCTCCTGCTTCAGCCTCTTGAGTAGCTGGGACTACAGGTGTGCACCCCAACCCCTGGCTAATTTTTAAATTTTTTTGTAGAGGCGTGGTCTCGCTGTGTTGCCCAGGCTGGTCTGGAACTCCTGGCCTCAAGTGATCCTCCTGCCTTGGCCTCCCAAAGTGCTGGGATTATAGGTGTGAGCCACTGCGCCCGGCCTTGTGGACACTTGTTGTAGTTGCATGGTCTTTCGTGTTTACATCATTTTGACTGAATGGCTCAAAAGTGTCTTGCCTCCGCAATGGCTGAGATGAAGACCTGCGGCCCTTCTGAGCTTCTCCCTGCTCTTTGTGCTGCCACATGTGCTGTGCTGGGGACAGGAATGACCATGACAGGGCCCGGTGTCTTGCAGACTATGATGCTGTGCTGACAGAAGCCGGAGATTACACAGCCAAGTACATGAAGCTTCGAGACTTCTTCGGCTCCATCTCAGGTACCCAGCAGACAGCAGACTCAAGTTCCAACTCAGGCCCTTGCTTCTGCCCTCAGACCCCGAAAGAGTTACCTCCTTACTGTCCCACCTGGACTCCAGTTGGTCTGTGTGCAAGAATGTTCTAGACAGGGACAGGGAGGTATGTGGGGCTGTTTCTGTCTTGCCGACTTCACCTGTTCCAGGTGTTAAGGCTCCTTATCTCCTGTGGAGGACGGGAGAATGCCCCTGGCCTTCCTCCCCTGGCCTCGGCAGGTGCTGAGAGCTGGCCTGTTGTTCCTCGTGGTGCTGGGATGCAGGAGCACATTGGGTCTGTGAATGGGAGCTGGGCGGGGAGGACGAGCAGACGGTGACATTTGGGTCCCTTGGGGATGACGCTGTTGTCTGTGTGTTGCAGGCATTCCTCTCCCTCCCCCACCTGACCTACTTCCCAAGGTGTCGTATGAGCCCATAACGCCAGTCTTGTACCTGTCTCTGTGGGATGCCCTCAAGTACATGGGGGAGGTGAGTGCTGGGGCAATCGTGGGTGTAGCAGGGGTGTGGGGAGAGGAAGGCCAGCGCCTAGTGGCTTTGAGGTCCGCTCTCCAGCCTTGGAGCTCAGAGCGAAGAGGACAAACTCATGCTAGAGTGTGAGTTGGGGAGAAACAAAGGCCCCTGAGGAACAGCGGGTGGCCCTGTGAACCGTTCCTTCCTCCAGCCTCAGAGAGGAGAGTGAGGGGCAGAGGAACAGGGGGTGCCTCCTCCGGTGGCCCGAGGCTGTGACGCGTATCCCCTGCCTGTGGACTGCACTCGGCCGGTGCACACCCCTTTGTCCCACCCTCTTCCCCATCACTCTGCAGAGCTGTAGGTTTAGTGCAATGAGAAGTCAAAGTAGAAACACCTGCCAAACCCCTGCTTCCACCCCACGTGCCAGCCCCCAGGCAGAGTCTGTCTGTGACCCCGCTCCTGCTCAGCCTGCCCCCCCCCGCCATCTCTTCTGTACGCAGCCAATCAAGTCTGAAAAGCCCATCAACATGGAGAACCTGCCAGTCAACGGGGGAAATGGACAGGCCTTTGGGTACATTCTCTACGAGACCAGCATCACCTCATCCGGCGTCCTCAGCGGCCGCGTGCGTGATCGGGGGCAGGTAGGAGCTTCTCTTCTAAATTCCTGCGACCTTCTGATGAGCAGCCCTGCAATACACGTCTCATTCTGTCCCTCAGAATCAGCTATTACCAGCTGTAAATATGGCCCTTCCGAGTCAGCTCTGCGAGTCTTCATGGGGGCATTTGTTTCTGCTCTGCCCGCTGGCCCCTTGTCTGCCCACAGGCATGCGGTGCTGCCCTTCTTGGCCTAGCGGAGGTCCCACATACCCTCCTCCTGTTGGCCATGGATGCTTCTGTCTGTTCCCTTTGGCAGGTGTTTGTGAACACAGTATCCATAGGATTCTTGGACTACAAGACAACGAAGATCGCTGTCCCTCTGATCCAGGTTCATTGTTTTTGGGCGCTGGGTGAGGGCTAGCCCCCGCTGCTTCGAGGAGGACGGGGGGAGTCACCGAGGAAGACCTGGGAGACCCGTGGCTCCTTCCCCACAAGCTGCAGGTGGAGAGGGCGAGCACGGCTTTCTGCCCAGCTGGGATGTGCACTCCCATCCCCAGAGTGTAGGGAAGAACTGGGGTCCACAAGCACATTCTGAGGGGCAGCTGTGGCCTTCCAGTGGTCATCGTTAGCCCCGTGTTGCTGGCAGGGTTACACCATGCTGAGGATCTTGGTGGAGAATCGTGGGCGAGTCAACTACGGGGAGAATATTGATGACCAGCGCAAAGGTGGGTCTGAGAATGTGTCGAAAGAAGAGCGGCCATGCTGGACACGTGGCTATTGCTTCTCTTGCCAGCAGCCACCAGGACACGGAGGCCCCTTGCAGGGAGGTGGAGGCTGGGGTGTCCCGTACATGAGGCCAGTTCTGAGTGGGCCAGAGAAGCTCCGCTGGGCGTGGCCCCGTCCCGTTAGCACTGCGCATGTGCATTGTCTGCGTGCTTGTGATAAACACAGTGAACACTGAGCTGGCCTGGTCTCCCCTGGGCTACAGTCGGTTTCCGCAGGGATGTCTGCCTGGGGGACGGCGGTGAGGAGCAATGAATGTGATTTCCAGGAATCCAAGGAAAGGCACAAGACCCCTGCCTTCTTGGGCCTCCACACTGAATTTCTCTTCTTGATCCATCTTGGGAAACCCATAGCTTATCTCGGATGTGGCGCGGGCAGGACGTGGCGCGAGGAGGATGTGGGACATATAAAAAACAAAACGCCTCTTGGTAGCGCACCCCTCTGGCAGCACACCCCTCTGACAGCACACCCCTCTGGCAGCACACCCCTCTGGCAGCACACCCCTCTGGGAACAGGCTGCCAATTTGCTTTATGTTTCCTGGCTTACTAAATCTTTTATGCTTTAATTTAGCCTTTCCTTTTTTAAACAACTCTAGCTAAATGTGGGTGGTTTCAGGTAAGTTATAAAAAAAGAACTCAGAAAAAAATGAATGTGACTGTGGTGAGCAGCACTGGTGACCTCCCAGTTCTCTCGCGGTGTCTGCGTTTAATGGAGGAAACGTGAAGAGCTCTTTTTGGTCCACATTTCATCCGACAGCCGTCTGGCGGCCTGCCAGGAAAGCGACATGGCCCAGACACTGGAGCCGGGATCCCGGGGATCAGGGCCTCTGCAGATGGGCCTCAGAGCAGCATCTAGACCATCCAGGCCCACACTCCTTCACCCTAAACAGCTCCCTCTCTGGGCCTGTCCTTCCGCTGTTCTCCTGGGGGTTGGAGGGAGCAGCAGCCTGACCCTTGTTCCTAACTTTGCTTCCCTGAGCCCTTGTTGAGGGTCCCCTGGGCCCACACTGTGGAGTCCTGTCCTCCGGATCACAGTTAAATGTTTTAAGTCACAGACCTCCCTTGAGAAATGTGTGTGCCCACAGACACCTGCACCTGCCATTTCAGAGTCTGTAGGCCCCGCAAAGCCTCTCCACAGTCCCCAGCCTCTGAATCCCCAAGCTAGCCACCCAGCAGCTCCGTGATCTGAGACTGGCAGGGCTGGCCCAGCCCCGGGACACTGATGAGTGGCTCCTCAAGGGACACAGCTCTTCCCTGTTGGATGCCTGAGTGAGGGTGCCATCTGCCCACAGTCCATACTCCTGATGCACAGCTTTAATCCTCGGTGGCATAGGTGACTCCTGGCTGAGTTATTAGGTTTGTGTAGCCTGGGCCCCACTGAAACTGGCCCTGCAGCTAGGCCGGAACCCTCTCAGTCATCTGGAACTTCCTTCAGAGAGGCCAGAGGCTGTTCTCCCACTGTAACACCTCAGCTCTATATCCTTCCCATGGCAAATCCTAGGGATTTCCTCCTTCCCATGCCCCATAGAATTGCTAGGGAGCCTTGCTTGCAAGTGAACAGCTTCTCAGGGAGCGTACACTTCAGCACTCCTCACCCCAGCGTCCCAGGGCTTCCCCTTGTGGCCCTGGCCCAGCAGACTTGGCCCCTGCCTTTGGGCTACCCACATGTTCTGCCTCCTTCCCACAGGCTTGATTGGAAATCTCTATCTGAATGATTCACCCCTGAAAAAATTCAGAATCTACAGCCTGGATATGAAGAAGAGCTTTTTTCAGAGGTGGGTCCCTGCCCAGTGCCAGCACGTGCACTCACAGGTTCGGCGCTGTGCGGCAGGCCCCAGGGTCCCTGGTGCACCGTAGCCTGGCCCACACCCAGGTGTGAATGGCCCCAGGGGCCAGATCGGCTGGCTGAGGTGAGGGGTGGCACCCGCGCTAGAAGCCACGTTTGCAGACTAGGAATTCCCAGCATCCTACCCTGCTCCCAGCATTCTACCCTGCTGCCGTTCTGTGTCCTGGTTAAGGGTTGGGGGGGAGGCCGTGGATGGGGAATTAGCTGCAGGACTGGGACCAGATCTAGGGAAGGTCCTCCTCCGTCTCCTGCCCTGTGTTCTGTCCTTAGGTTCGGCCTGGACAAATGGAGTTCCCTCCCAGAAACACCCACATTGCCTGCTTTCTTCTTGGGTAGCTTGTCCATCAGCTCCACCCCTTGTGACACCTTTCTAAAGCTGGAGGTTGGTAACCCCCCTTTCCCTGCCGGGTTCTCCTACGTCCCTCCCGCCTTGGAGGGCTCTGAGCCAAAGCCACATGAGCTTGGCAAGAGCCCTTGGTGGCTTCTGTGCCCAGAGGGTCTGAGAAGGCTGCTGGAGACTCCCTGGGCCAGGGGAGTGGGCTCACAGCAGAACCACCTCATGCTTCCCACGTGCAGTCTGAGCTTGGGGACCATGCCTGAGAGGCGTGGCAGTGGCACTAGGGGCACTGAGAAACGTGGCAGTGGCACTAGGGGCACAGGAAATAGAGCATCCCACCTGCTCACCCTCATGGCTGTCCAGCTGCAGCTCGCTTTGGTCTCCTGGACCTGAGAGAAGCACGCATGGTGTATGTCTCCCTCCACTTTTGCTGTGGCTCTCGTGGTAGGTGAACACCCTTCCCACTCTGTTTCAAGGGCTGGGAGAAGGGGGTTGTATTCATCAATGGCCAGAACCTTGGACGTTACTGGAACATTGGACCCCAGAAGACACTGTACCTCCCAGGTCCCTGGTTGAGCAGCGGAATCAACCAGGTGGGAGCTTCCAGCCCCTTCTTGTTCCCCAAGACGCCCTGCCCACCTGCCCTCCCAGAGAGCCTTCCCTCAGGGTGGAGGGTGTGCCAGCGGGTTCTTCCTCCCTCCTCCTCGCTGCGGACGAGTTGTTGGTCCCTGTCCCTTCCAGCCTGGTTCCCAAACCCTCTCCTTCTGACCTTGCCACCTCTCAGCACCTCCCCTGGCACCAGGACAGACCTCAGCTGCCCTCCCAGCTGGGCCCTCTCTCCACAGGTCATCATTTTTGAGGAGACGATGGCGGGCCCTGCACTACAGTTCACGGAAACCCCCCACCTGGGCAGGAACCAGTACATTAAGTGAGCGGTGGCACCCCCTCCTGCTGGTGCCCGTGGGAGACTGCCGCCGCCTCCTGACCTGAAGCCTCGTGGCTGCGGCCCCACCCCTCCCCTGCAACCTCAGGGACTGGGGGCTACAGTCTGCCCCCACCTAAGCTGAAAAGCCTGAGCCTGCAGGGAAAGGTGGGACGGCTCTGGGCCTGGCTTTGTTGATGACGCCTTTCCTGCAGCCCTGCTCTTGTGCGAGGCTGTCGGGCTGTCTCTAGGGTGGTCTCCAGGGTGGGAGCAGCTAGTCAGATCGCCAAGCCTTTGGCCCTCAGAGAAAGTGCTGAAACACGCCCCTGCGCCGGAAGTCACAGCCCTGCGAGCATCTGCTGGACTCAGGCGTGCTGTTTGCTGGTTCTTGGGAGGCTTGGTCACATCCCTCAGAGCCCCTTTTTATCCCCGAAATGCTGGGTGTGTCACCAGTGTAGAGGGTGGGGAGGGGATGTCTCACCTGAGCTGACTCTGTTCTTCCTTCACAACCTTCTGAGCCTTCTTTGGGATTCTGGAAGGAACTCAGCGTGAGAAACATGTGACTTCCCCTTTCCCTTCCCACTCGCTGCTTCCCACAGGGTGACAGGCTGGGCCGGAGAAACCGAAATCCTCAGCCCTGCGTCTTCCTGAGTCAGCGAGTGTCTCTGGTGTTCAGTGAGGATGACATGTGGGTCCTGGCAGAAGCCATGGCCCGTATCTGCACATCCAGGGAGGAGGGACAGAAGGCCCAGCTCAGTGGCCCCCGCCCCCCACCGCCCACGCGGAGCAGCAGGGGCGGAGCAGCCTCCTCCGCAGTGTGTCCACCTCCCACGCGGGAGCAGCAGGGGCGGAGCAGCCTCCTCCACAGTGTGTCCACGTCCGTGTTTGAGCCTTGCTCTGGGGCTCAGCCCAACACCTGGCTGGGGCTCACTGTCCTGAGTTGCAGTAAAGCTGTAGCGTTGAATCACACCCCCTCTGGTGATAGTCTCCAGTCATGTGTGCCACTCGTGCCAGAGGGGAAGGCTGTGTGAGAGCTTCGTTTTCTTGGTCAGGTTCCCATGGGGCCCCATTTGCCGCTCGGGGGTCCAGACGGGGACCGTCCCTGGGGTGGGTGGGCCATGATCCTGGCCTCATACTCCCCTCCTGACCCCGACTCCCCTTAAAATGTCGCTGGATTGGAAGCGCCCGGGAGAGGACAGGTCAAATGCAAATTCATTCTCATGCTGGTGGGCGGGGGTAAGAATCTGCTAGGCAGTCAAGGGCGCTACATATGAGTTAACTGCGGGGTTGAGTTTTGCTTCACAAACTACATCTGGCATCTACTGCCAAAACCAAATTATCTCCAGTAACAGAAAGTCAAGTAGCACACACATCCCCTGCACGGCAAGAGCTCTGGGAGCCCCGTGAAGGTGGGCTGGGGGATGGCGAGCCATGGGGCTCACTGAGGCCAGCAGGCTTGCTGCCCGTGTGGCTGCCCAGGGAGAGGTGCAGGGGACATTCGTGATGTGCAGCCCAGCAGCTGAGCCAGGTCAAGGGCTTATTAAATGGAGCTTGTTAAAGGGAAGCATGTGGACAGTGGCTTGGGGACAAGATGAGGCAGAGTCCCTGGTTTTGCCCAGACTCACCAGTTCTTCTGGAACTGCCTTGGAACGACAAGCATGGAGCTAAGATGTGGCTGAGACCCGGGCTACTTGGGTGTGGCCTGAGCCAGGTGCAGGGTCTTCTGCCCTGCTTTACCTGGGTGTGTGCTTCTGCAAAGCTGTGTATGAGCTGGGTTCTGTCAGAAAGTGATGGAACTCGAATGGAAGGGAACCTTCCTGCAAACCCTCCTGTAAAGTGGATCACACTTCCACGAAGAACCGAGCAGGACACACTGGTTTCCTAAGGTGAGGTCTTCCTACACCAGCTTCTTATTCTTGCCCTTCTTTTTTGCCAGTTGACTGCTCGGCTTCTCTACCAAAGCACCTCTTGGCAGAGCTTATTCTCCAGCGTTGACTAAAGATTTGTCCGTATCTTCCACATGGTATGGCCTCATCTAGGTCTCTTTGGAGGATCCCTCTTCATATCCAGCCTCTGAATACTGGGGGTCTCTGGCCCACTCCTTGGGCTGTTTCTTTCCTCTGTCCACACTCACTGCACAGGGTCTCACCCGTGACACCTGTGGTTTGTAAACAGGTTCGACAACCCGCGCCTGCCGATGCTGGCCTGCACCTGAGCTCCAGGCGCGTGGGGGCTCCTTTTCTTCTGCATGTGTCTAACGGGCACCTGACACAGAGCTCCGTTTCCCCACATTACCCCTCCTGCACGCAGCCCCGTATCTGGAAACGGCAGTGCTGTTCTGTGTCTCGGGCTATTTTGGACCCCTCTCTTCATCTCCCACATCCAATCCAGCAGCAGATCCTCCTGGCTCTGCCTCCTAAACTCGTTCAGAATTTGACTGCTGCTCTCTGCCCCAACCCCATGCCCCCACTCAGCCCACTGCATCTTGGCCTAGATGATTGCAGGAGCCACGTCTCCACCTGTCCTTGCCCTCTCCATTTATCCTCTGTGCAGGCGTAGGGCAGTTCTTCTGAGAGATGGATAGATTATGTTAGTCCTCCATACTGGACCCCCCATTGCCTTCTGGTTTCACCTGATGCCTGAGGACTCCCTCCTCCCCTGCCCACCGCATCCCTCACTGCTTGCCCCAGCCGTCCCCACCCAGTCGGCTGAGCCTTCCTGCTGATCTATAAGCAGGCTGAGCAATGCTTGTTCCACCTGCTGAGAGTTCTTTCTTCTTGGACCCAGGGAGCTGCATGTCAGGGTGTTGCTGCTTTGCTCCAATGTCACCTTATCAGGGAGGCCTTTCTGGTCACCCTACAGAGCACTGACCCCTCTCCACTGTTACCCTCTGTCTCCCCAACTCAGCCTCATTCTCCATACAACAGATTGCATCTGAAATAACACGTATTCGTTATTGCCTGTCTCGTCTCGTCAGTAGGTCAGTTCTGTGAAAACGAGAGCCTTGTTTTTTCACTGCTGTGTTCCAGCTCCTAGAATAATGCCTGTTCATAACAGGCACCTGATAAATACTTGTTGGGTAGCTAAATTAATAAATGACAGTAAAATAAGGCAGCGCTGAAGAGGATTAGGACTGTTAAAAACTGTATTTGACTTTTAATTTTGAAAGCAAATTAAATACAGTTAAATTAAAACAGACCAGATGCAGCTGCCTGGGTGCCACCCTCACCCCAGCCTCTGTTCTTGGAACTCCTAGCCCCTGGCCTCACTCCTGTGTGGTGGGGTTTGCCAGCGAAGGAGCAGGGAACAGACTGGGTTTGGAAAACAATCGTCATCATGGACCCATTTCTGATTTATAACAAACTCATTCCCAACAAGGATGAAGGCTGCAGTCCACCAGGGTTATAATTATAAATAAATATACATGCAGCTAAAAGAGGGTATTAGGTGAAAACAACTGACCTAGCATCTGCCAAAGGAAGTCCCCATTTTGTTGTTCATTATCAATTTCCTGAAAATGAACCCTGGGTTTTTGGCTAAGAAGGTGGCCTCAGACCAGCCAAGCTGACCTTGGCACTCAGGGCTGGCTTCTGTGAGTGAGGCAGTAGAGCGCCCACGCATAAGTTCACCACCTGTGCCCACCTCCTCCCTTCTCTCCCATGCCACCCCACTTGCTTCCAAGGGCTTGGTTTCCAAAGTGACATTCAGGGTGTAAGAGGTTGGGGAAAACGTCCTGCAAGGTGGCTCAGGGATCTGATTCCATCAGATGGTCTCATGAATACTGTGGGAGATTAAATCCATCTCAAAATAGGCAACCAATGCTATATTCTGAATGTTAGGTCTCTGGACTGAGTCCCACCCACCCACCCACTCAGGAGTGGGTTCTGAATGGCCCTCAGACCTGTCCTGGTGAGTCGTAATGGGGTGGGAGGCTGTTAGTTAAAAAATAAACACCTCTTCAGTAGGCTGGGGCCCTTCCTTTTCCTCCACTTGGGGGGAAAATTGTGCTTCCAACTTGCAGGAGAATGAGCCAGATCGCCACCAGAGAGCCCGGCCGGCCAGGGGAGTCAGAGCCCTTTTTCCAGCGGGCCTGGGAGGCCTGGGGAGGGCAGCAGCTTGAGACACACTGTTCTTTCTCTAGGGTGGAAAGTGGACAGCTGGACATGAGGTGGGCTAGCTTTGCATGCTCCCGACTTAGGGAAAAGTAACATTTTCTTTCCCTTTTTTGTGTTTAGAATAATTTCCAAAGCAGTGTGCTCAGGCCTCCCTCCTGCTCAGTGTCCCACCAGCCCCTGCCCTCTTTTCCCCAGTCCCTCTGCTACTCCAGAGTCCCTCCTCCTCAGACCGGGGGCAGGAGAGAGTTAGCCCTTGGCCTCGGCCTCCCTCCTTTTTCCAGGCTGCAGGAAGTCCCACCTTGCACGCCACCCACCGCCTTGCCCACCGCCCATCACCTTGCCCACTGCCCACCACAGACAGGCTCACTGCACCCTGAGGTCTGTGGCTCTGAAGAGCTGCAGGAAAAGGCGCCTTCCCTCCCCAGTCCAGTCCAGCTGAGGGGCCGAGCAGCCGAGGTGGGCGGTGGGCGGTGGCGAGGCAGTATGTGGACAGTGGGGCCGTGGGGTTCTTAATCCAGGTCAGGCAGTGACCTGTGCTGGCTCTTGAGCCCACCCCTTTGCCAGTGCTGGAGGAGAAGGGGTAAAGAAAGAGGGGCCGGAGGAGGGGACTCTGCTCCTGCCACAGCCTGAGGTACAGGGGGTGCCTATTAGGCCCAGTTCCCCCCATGCAGGGCTGGGTGCCTGTTGGGATCAAAGACGGCCTTATGCTCTGTAAACATGAACCAGAGGAGAGCCACAGAGGTATGTCTGATTTGGGGGCAGCCCTCGGGAAGAGCAGGGACCGAGGAGAGGAGCAGAGCACTCCTGATGCCCGTGGGCTGCTCTCTGGTCTTCAGAATTCCCTGGCTGGGTGTCCTGTGTGGTAGGGCTGGGCCCAGGGACAGGGAGCCAGGGGGGGCCATGCTCCACATGACTGCAGGGTCTTCTCATCTCCCTCCCGCCCCGCATCACTGCAGGGCCGGTGTGGGTGCCCTCTGCGCCTGCTCCTGCAGCCCCGTCAGTGCAGGGAGCTCTGGGGAGGTGCGCTGGAGCACCGGCTTGGCTGGTGCTGGACACCCCACCCTGGCCATCAGGTCTCTCGGGCCCTGGTCACGCTGGTTGGAGAGAACAACAGGTCTGGGATTTCTGTGCTTAAATTCTCTGTCCTTTGTCCTGGCATCAGGCTGGGCTCTCTCAGAAGCCCCCAGAATAAAAGGAGGGTGATGGTGATTCCTTAGGAGTCGGCCTTGGAGGGACCATCAGCCGTGGGGAGAGGATGGAAGGCCAAGAACAGGGTCTGAGGAGGAGGCTCCTGTGAGGGGAGAGGAGGAATGAGTGAGGTGTCAGCTGAGGATGGGGCTGGAGAGGGAACGGCCAGGCAGGGCCACCAGGACCTCTGCAAAGCCCAGGCCCCCTGGTCCTGTGGGGGCCTTTGGGGGGGGCAGGTGGGGAAGGTGCTCCAGTGAGGGCAGTGAGGGCCCAGTGAGGGCAGGAGGCAGGAGTGAGGCTCTGTACAGACGCATTCTAAGTGGCACCGGCCAAGGTGACTGAGTGACGCCCTGTGGTCCCCTGCAGGCAGGGGGATGCAAACATGATACAGAAGCTGTTGCTTAGCTCCAGCGCAAGAGGACAAATGTCTGTCTCAGGCCCCAACCTCTGTTTGGCATAACCTAGAGCAGGGAGTCTGGAGTACCAGCTGCTTTGAAGAGACAGAATAAGATCACAGTAAAGCCCCTGAAAATGCCTGGCTTTGCCAACCACCCGGCACAATTCACTTGTGCCAGTGTGTCACCTTGGAACATTCATTTAGCTTCTCTCAACATCATTTTTTTGCCTCTGAAGTGTAGGTGGATCCTGTGGCCTGCTTCCAGAGAA